AACAACAGAATGTGTTAATAAAAACATAACAAACACATTAACATAACATAAACACAATAAACATAACATAAGTCTGAGGTAAGGTATACTAACGCATCTTAAATTTGGACTCAGGTTTTCTTGATACGGGCTTACCTAGTGAGAAAACCAACCTATAGTAGAAAGGAGTAGAACAAGTATTTCTATGGCCTACAAATAATTCTTCCGGTCTGGATGTTTGTCCTTGAGAAATTTATGTATATAAACTTCCCCCCGATACACGAGAAAATCGTAGTGTGAAGGTAACGTTTTAAAATCAAAGAAAAAGAAGTTTATTTGTTTCCAATAACTAACAATTTTTTTATTTTGTTTATGCCAGAGTAAGCTAACCGTGTACTGACGGTGTAAGGATATCCATTACCTCACATCATCCCGAGGGTGGCGGAAGAAGCGATAGAGCGAAATTGAAACAGTGGCAGCAGCGTCTTCCTGGTAACAAATCAAAATAATAAGAAACTGCATCTGCCAACTTGCTTGCCAAGCATGGCAACTGTGGCAAAATCCCCCCCCATGACGCAATCTATGAGGTACGCCTCTTTTCGGCAATAGACTTTTAATAGACTTTAATAGACTTTAATAGACTTTAATAGACTTTAACAGACTTTAATAGACTTTAATAGACTTTAATAGACTTTAACAGACTTTAATAGACTTTAATAGACTTTAATAGACTTTAATAGACTGTAACAGTAACGGTATGATTATAACGCTTAATGGACTTAGGTCTGAGGTTTCCTCGATACAGGCTTGCCTAGTGAGGAAACTGAACTTCAAAGAAAGATATTACCGATTGTTTATTTGTTTCTGTTATTATAACATATTATTTTCATTTTGTATAGTATGTATGTATGGGAGAGCCACTCTATCAATAAAAATTTTCGACACGACCGGGGAATTACCTGGCTCTCTTAAATACCAGCGTAAAATAGCAGCTTAATGCTGCGTGTTTAGTGGTGGTGAGGTCAGGGGTGGTTACTAATATTGGTTCTTAATGGAAGATAAATATGCATGTCTGTGATCTATGGTACATACTCGTACTTATATAAAAATACAATGTAATAAATTCATTTGATATGTATTAATGTTCATACCTTCCGCCAACTGGTTGAATAATACATAGTACAGTACCTTTGTTTTACTTTGTTTTTATAGGGAAGGGGTGATAAACGAGCACACAGTCAACCAGATGGTAAGTGGTTGCTGTGGCCCATAGACATCTACATCTAATTCTCGAATAAGAATCAAAATACAAATGCGTTGTCACCCGTGGGGACTAAGATCGAATGCCTCCTTTCCATTAAAAAGGGTCTCCGGTTCTCTACACAGACCATACGAAAAACAACAGCATTAAGCTGCTATTTTACTCCGGTATTCTGTGAAAGCGTGGTCCTTCCCCGGTCGAGCCGGGCCATTCGTGCTACAATTAATAGCTTTAACATAGCGTAAAAAACAAACAAACAAACCTTATAAATTGTAATTACGTCACCTTGATGTTTTTGTATTCGAAGTAAATAAAGATCTTTTATTCTATTCTATTCAAATTGTTTCAATAAAGAAAAAAACCAACATCACTAACTGTAACTATCTCTCGCGCAGTCGACAGCTGCCTTTGTTTTAGAAAACGGACCAGGAGGACGTCGTTTTATATAAATACAAGTGTTAATTAAATCCGTTGAATACATATTTTACAAATACTGTGTCTACAAATAGATTTAATTTAAATAAAGGGTCCTTTATATAACAGGAAAGGCCTTTGTTTAACGGCGGACTGTCAAAAGGTTCGTTAAGAAAAAAGATCTTTAATAAAACTTGGAAAAAAAACTCTGTATTATCCTTAAGTGCGTTACTAACTTAATTTCGCTTCTATTTTTAGCAATTAAAGATTTATTTCTTTAACAAAAACTTTGAAGATTTGTAAAATTTACAGCCTATATACGTCCCACTGCTAGGCACTGGCCTCCTTTCATTTCTGGGAGGGTTTTAGGGCAAGTCCACATGTCTGACTTCACTAACTTCACTGGCATTAATGCCATGACATGTCTGCGAAATATATTTTTTTAACATGCAGGTTTCCCCACAATGTTTTCATTCACCGCCGTGCACGTGGTAAATCAGGACTTAAAATTGCAATCAACAATTTCATTGGCGCCGGCGGGGAAAGAACCCGGGTTGCACGCGTACTGTTAAATTTACAGCAAGTGCTTAGCACTGAGATACCGGGGCTCTTAATATTTGTATTAATTATTTGTTAATTTTTAATTAATTATTGAAAAGTCATGTAATAGATTTTTCCTTATAAAATGGAAAACGTTTTGCCTATTTCGAGTGATATTTTCCTCTACTCTCTATATCGCTATCGTTGTTGATACAAACAGACCGTTGTACAGCAAAACATCCTTCACTTGTTAGAGCATTCAAGATAAAAGTAAATCTAGATCTGACATGAGAAAAAAATCTCTGAAAATATCTATGGAAAAGAATCATTTTACATTAGGATTTGATATGAATTAATATATATATATATATATATATATATATATATATATATATATATATATATATATATATATATATATATATATATATATATATATATTATTCTCCACTAATGTTTTTTTTATAGAAGAGGGGGAAAACGAGCATGCGGCTCACCTGATGTTATTTCTAATAATATAATAAAATTGAGAATAATCTAGGACTACCTATTTGAATTATATCAAAACTATTTAAAAAAAAGAGTTTGCTCTGTCTTTAAGCTTCGTAGCTCTATGGTACGGAACAATCAGAGAAAGCACACGATCGTTTTCCAGAGCAATATAGCATGATTTAGTGTTAAGATGTGGAGCAATAACGGCGGTGTACTTATTTATACTATCGTGTTAGCTTACACCTGTGCTATGGTTCAGGGTAAGTTGGAGAGCGAGGAAAACACAAGGGAATCAGGTGAGATAGTTAAACCATGTAACGATTGTTCGATAAATAAGAGAAGTTAAATAAATTTTTCTTTAGTATTGGAACACTAACATGATTTAGTAAATGGGTATTTCTAGTCGACGCATATACTCGTGCTTTTGAGTCATATACTCATTATTATGATGATTTCTTTGTAAACTTTAATATAATAAATGAAAGTTACAGATTACCTTCACCCACGTGTCAAGGAAAGCACTTAAAGCCGTTCGTCTCGCGCCTCATCTCTCTCCGTACGTGTCGGTTTACCGTCCCAAAGGACAATGATAGTGAGGGAATAGAAAGTGCATCCATGCTTATGCACACACTTGTACGCTATAATCCCGTCCTGCGAAGATGGCTAGTCCTCCGTTAAGACGTTTTATACGTGGTAGAGCCATGCTGCAGTTATATTAGTAGTATAGTTGTAGCACGAATGGGTCGGCTCGACCGGGGAAGGAACACGCTCTCATAGATCCCAGCGTAAAAGAATAGCTTAATGCTGTTTTGTTTCGTATGGTGAATGTAGAGAACCGGAGAGCCTTTTTACTGGAAACGAGGCATTCCATCTCAGTCCTCATGGGTGACAAAGCATCTGCATTTTAATTTGTAATCGAGAATAGATGTAGATGTCTATGGGCTACAGCAACAACTTACCATCTGGTGGATGACTGTGTGCTCGTTTGTCACCCTATCCTATAAAAAAAGACTTGTCGCCATGACCGAAATCCATTCCAGAGTGATCCATACTTTTCATATTCTCCCGAGAATATGAAAAGTATGGATGAGTTTAGTTGGGAACTTCTTTTTCTTTATCAACCCACAAAAGTGTGCACCTGGATATGTGGCTTTCTCGTTGTATGGAAGATTGGTCTTAATCGCCATACCGTAGGTGATTGGCGATTGCAGCACCAGACCTATCGCACCATGGCCGTCGCACCCTGTTGCTGGTGTGTGTGTGTGTGTGTGTGTGTGTGTGTGTGTGTGTGTGTGTGTGTGTGTGTGTGTGTGTGTGTGTGTGTGTGTGTGTGTGTATGTGATGTGTGTGTGTGTGTGTGTGTGTGTGTGTGTGTGTGTGTGTGTGTGTGTGTGTGTGTGTCTGATGGTAAGTGAATACTTTGGTCCATAGAAATCTAGGTACATCGATTCTGGATTAAGAATCAAAATGAGGATGCAATGCCCCGATTCCAGTAGAAAAGACATCCGGTTCTTTACACTCACCATACGAAATATGCAGCATGAGCTTATTTTATGAGTAGCATAGGTATGGTTTTACGTGATAGAGCCACGCCGCAGCTATAATATGTAGTACGAACGTCGGCTCAAGTGTGGGGTGGGACCACGCTCTCACAGAATAGCAGCTAATTGATGCTGTTCTTCATATAGTAAGTGTAGCGAACCGGAGACCCTTTTTAATGGAAACGAGGCATTCTATATTAGTCCTCAGGGGTGTCAAGGCATCTGCATTTCTATTTTTAATCGAGGATAAATATAAACTAAATATAATAAAAATGAAAAGTATTTATTTGTCACAAAAATACAATGTTAAAATTTCAATAGACAGCTTAATAATTAGTTGTGACAAAACGGTCTGTGACTCAGTTATAACGGGAAACCCATTACTCCTGCTATTTGGCCACAGCCTTTGCGCATAATTCATACAGGGTCTTAGGCAATTGACGAAACACACGTATTAACAATAAATAAATAAAAAAACAATAAAAAAATTATAGTTGCTAAAATACAAAAAAAAATGTTGTCTAATTTGAGGGGGTATCAAACCCACAGCTATGTGGATTATTATTTAGCCAGGGACTGTTTTTGTATAAGCACTAACACTTGCGGCATCTTTGTCGGAAGGTAGACGGAAATAGACGGAAATAGGATGTCTATGGTGCACAACATCCACTTACCATCAGATGAACCTTATTTTATATAAAAAAAAGAGTTTTATGACAGCAAATATTACTATTTTCATCAAAGTGTTTACAATATTCCTAACTAATGGAGTTATGAATAGGTTTCTTTTTAAAGGTGATCCCGAAATTGACAACATGGACTCTAGCACTACAAAAGTTATTGCACAGGCGAATATCAGTAGTAAGTTAGGATATTGAAAATGATGTATTTGATTTTAAATATAGAAAATAGTGCTATCAATTACGTTTTTCAGCAGATCGCGATATTGACGACAGCGGAGAGCACATTGGTCCGTCAGTCACGCAGATATATCACCATCCTTACGCCGCGTCGTTGCTAAAAAACGATTCGTACGTCTGCAGTGCTGTTGTGTTGAATACCTACTGGTTACTTACATTATCCAAATGCTTTGATTCGTACGTATTAAATATGTAATAAACAGTCATATAACATCAGTCATGTTATATATGTCACAGTCATCTGGTTGAATTTGCTATTTAATTGAATGACTAGCGCGTTCATTGAATGACGACATTTAATTGAATGACTAGGCCGAACATTGATTGAACAAGCGTCACTCAACGTCCGACTAGTTAGCAGATTGTAACATAGCCCTTTGAACAGAGCGTACGTAAAATAAATCTGGTGATTTAAATTATATATTATATGAATATTCGCGGTTTTGTACCACCCCAGCCGTACCCTAACCTGTCACTGATATTACAGTGTAGTTGCAATGTTGTATTGGACACGGCTTAATACCAATCAGTCAAGACGTTGAACGTTACATTCAACAAGTTAACGAGTTGTCCTTTAGTCATTTAATTAAATGTCGTCATTCAATGAACGCGCTAGTCGTTCATTCAAATAGCATATTCAACCAGATGACTGCGACATGTATATGCTAAAAGCTGTCATATTATTTCATAGCATGATTCTGCTATAAACGTTCCTATTTTGCTAAATGAACGCATCGCCCTTGCCTCCCTACCTTACCCACTCTTAACTTAGGTCATAGCCCCAAGCTTAAGATATGTCTGTTAGAAAGTATTTTGACACTTAAGCGTACATCTTATCGTTGAGCTATGACAATTAATCTTTATAGAAATAATATCCTATTGTAATAATCCTTAAAATTAATAACAAAAAAGAATACGATACAAAATATAATAATATATTTTTTTACATTTTTCTTTCCGGTCTGTGGAACCTCATTTCGTAACAGTGGTAGATTTAAAAAGAAGCTGATATTTAACAAACGAAATTTGATTTTCAATTCACTCTAGACATTTTACTATACTTTGTTCAGAAAACCTCCAGGCCTCCCTTAGCTTAAGTAAACTAATACCTATTATTTTTTGCAATATTTCAGACATATTATATCGTCATACGTAACTCATACAAATCTTAATAACTATACGCTTAGGGTTGGCAGTTCATATAACAACAAAAGTGGGTCACTTCATAAGGTATTTTATTTTTTTGCTTTTAATACCTAATTATACAATTTATAATACTCTAACTATATAATTTTAAGTGAAACTTCTTTATCGACGTAGTGGAGGCGTTTAGTACGGTATTAAAAGTAAAAAACGTCGCGTTTTCTTGTAACGTTTCACCGCCGGGGCTACATTTAACCTACTTATGTAAAATGTAAATTAAAAGAAGAATGATATATCGTAAAGAAGTTTCACTTTGTATGTGTGCAAAAAATTGCACGCACAAGTTTTTTTATTTATTTGTTTATAATATAACTTTTGGTTGACAGATTAAGCTGCTAATAAATAATTTCGACTTAAAAGTATCGGCTGTGAAGTTGGAAGCACCTTTGGAATTCAGTTCCCGTATTCGATCCGTGAATTTACCAGATCCGGATGACGAAGTCAACTTGGGTTACTTAGCGTCAATTCTGGCCTGGACTCCCACTGGGGTATTTTTTATGTATATTTTTCATTTTGTAAAGGTGTTACACGAGCATATAGTCTATCTTATGGTAATTGGATGCAGTAGGCCTTAGACACCTATATATTTCTCATCGCTACATCTGATAGATGTTCCTTGCCGAACATATGGATTGCCTCATATGGACATTGGTCATGGTTGCCACTCTTGGCAGGCGGGTTAGCAGCTGCAATTTTTAATTATTAACGCCCTTATTCATAAAAAAATTAAAAGTTCGATTAGTTAATGAATGTTTTGTCTCATTCTGACATTTGCGAGAAACTTGTTGCTAGAAAGTGACAAAACACTATTTAACTAATCAAGTGTTTAAAAATGTTTATGAATAAGAGGGGTTAGGTCTCTCTCTCTCTCTCTCGTTCTATTACCTCTTACGTCACGCACAAAATGATTTGGAATACTGGATTCTCTTGCAGCCACTACACGGCGAACACCTACTTATCTGCACCTATCCTCGATTAAGTATCAAGATACAGATGTGTTGTCATCCCTGAGAACAAAGATGGAATACAAATTCTTTTAATAGTTTTGAACATAAACTTACGTAAATGAGGGATAACTATAGTATTGACTTCGCATATGAAGTTGTTTACGTACTTAAGTTAATAGCGAGTAGTTTGTTATTAAAAAATATTCAAAGAAAGTTTATAGATTTGGATATTCTTTAGTGAGTTTTTGAAGGGAAACTTTTTTATCGACCCGTAGTGAAGAAATTTATTACGGTAATAAAAATAAGAAACGTCACGTTTTCTTCTAAGGTTTCAGCGCCGGAGCTGCAAGAATAATATAATAAAAGAAGAATGATGTCATAAAAAAGATTAACTTCTTACGTGTGTACTTAATTATATGCAAAATTTTTAATTGTAGCCATAATTTGAAATATTGTTTGAAGTTTTCCAAATGATTAAAGCGCTACAAATGTACGAAAAGATAATTGACGGATAATGACTTGCATTGCTTCGCCTTTTCAAGAATAGACCAGTCATCCATTCTTTGAAAGATGTTAATGCTGACTACGCTTGCAGGTTCGGCATTTTTGTCACCAAAATTTTGCCCGTAAATAAATGGTTATTTAGCGTCAATTCTTGCCTGGACTTCGACTAAGGTTTTTATATATTTTTTTTATAGGATAGGGTGACATAACGAGCACACAGTCCACCTGATGGTAAGTGGTTGCTGCGGCCCATAGACATCTACATCTATCTTCCATTACAAATCAAAATGCAGATGCGTTGTCACCCGTGAGGACTGAGATGGAATGCCTCATTTCCAGTAAAAAGGGTCTCCGGTTCTCTACACTCACCATACGAAATACAGCAGCATTAAGCTACTATTTCACGCTGGAACGTTATTCTGTGAGAGCGTGGTCCTTCCCCGGTCGAGCCGACCCATTCGTGCTACAACTATACTACTAATATAATTGCAGCATGGCTCTACCACGTATGATATACTTTATTTTATAAAGGATAGTCATATATAACTAACAGGTGATGTAGGGTACTTTATATATTAAGCGTAATACTACTTATTCATCGACTTACATTGAAGTTTCATTAGTGAAATTTACAAAATGTAACCAAATGACGAACCAAGCTCTGGTGACAAAATGTCGATGCCAAATTCTACCCACCAGCCGACTTGAGTAGTGTAGTAAGTATGAAGATCTTTCAAAGAACGTATGACTGGAAGGTATATTCCTGATAAAGCCTAAGTCCAGATATGGAGTTTAGAGAACCAACGACTAAATTTTACTACTGAAAATTAAATGCAAATCGGAAAGTAAGTTGTAATATGTCTAATATATAGTACGCAATATACTCTGTATTTAAAAACATGTAATGCGCATTGTATTTAGATATTTTTTTTAAATTGGATAAAAGTGAATAATGAGCACACAGTCCACCTGATGTTAAGTAGTTGCTGTGACCCATAGACATCTACATCTACTATCGATTACAAATCAGAATGCAAATGGGTTGTCACCAGTGAGAACTAAGATGGAATGTCTCGTTTTCAGTAAAAAGGGTCTCCGGTTTTCTACACACACCACACGAAACACAATAGCGTTAAGCGCTATTTTACGCTGATATTCTGTGAGAGCGTGGTCCACCAGTACTATAACTGCGGCATGTCTCTACTACGTAAAAATATAGACTTCGTTTTAAGGTACGAAGTACGTGCAATTTCCGGTTTAATTTGTATCAGAAACAACATTGGAGGAAACAACGTATATTTTAAGAGCACAGCTACTAGCAAAGGAGACTTCGTATTTAGATACGAAGTACGCGTAATTTCCGGTTTTATTTGTATCAGAAACAACATTGGCGGAAACAACTTACATTTTAAGAGCACAGCCACTAGCAAAAGAGAAAAAGATCAATATAAAAGAGGGGAAAAATTTCCTTATACAATTATTACGTAATATGTATAACTATCTACTATTTAGTAATTGTGCATTTTTAGAATATTTTTTATGTTCCTTTTTCAGCATATACGGGTCGTAAACGTGCCAGTCTTAGATGCATCTATATGTGAACGAGCGACGGAGATATTACCGGGCTACTACATATGTGCCGGTGGAGTCCAAGATCTGAACAGACACTTTTGCAGAGTGAGTAGAAATTGAAATTACTATATGAAGTTTATAATCTTCTTACCGTCCGTCCAAAACCCTTTTTTGTTTAATTTATAACATGAAATTGGCCTCTAAATAGTTTGACGTGCTCAGCAGAGCGGGACAGTATTTGACAGGCTATTATGCACTTTGATAGGCTATAATGAATAAATAAATAAAATTTTAATAAAAAATAGTAGTTTTGTAAAGGTGACAACAATATCAAATTTTATTTATTTATATTGAAATTACAACGTTCTATTTATATTACAAAAATTATAATAAAGAACTTAACTAAAATAATAATTAAAATTATAATATTAAAGATTAAAACTAATTATATACAACATAAAAGAAGAAACTATAATATAGAAAATCTAAAACTAAAAATTTAAATCGTCAAAAAGACCTGCTCCCCGTGGTATAGTGCCAAGAACGCTGGCTGCGTATGCTCGCTGAATAGCTATACTTAGCCTTTGAGCGAGGAAAGAACCAGCCCTCTTATCACCAGCAGCGACGACCAGTAGTGGATACAGTTCCTTTAGAAACTTCATTGCACGTGGACCCCACGGACCGATAGTCTCTACAGCAAATGGCACAAATATGTAGTCATTTCTCAAAGACTCATATTTGCGCCATTTACTAAATTCGGCTGCCTCTGACGTCGCCCCGGCTCTAAAAGAGGTACCCTTGAGATGAGAGGCCGCCAAAGTGTCAGCGCAAGTAGCATCCCACACTAGGGCTTTACCTCTCTCCCAAGGGACCAAAGTCATACCGTCGGGTCTCTTGCCATCGTCTCTAAATATCCCGCAAGGCTCTAAAACCGAGGGGATATTTATAGAGAAAGAGCCCATCGGATGATTTCGTTCAAAGAACCGTGACGGGAAAACCTACCTGCACTTTTCTTGCATGAAAGTCCGTGGAGCCCAAACACATCGACGCTGCTACCACAGGGGCACTGGTGAGGTTGACAAATAGCCACTCCTAGCCGGATTCCTACGGCGATGCGCAAGCTTTCCCCATCAAGCAATGTGCCGAGATTACTTGATGGTAGAGCATGTAACCAGTGGCTAGATTCCTTAGTCGAAACAGCTAGAAAGCGAGCTTGATCTTGTTGAATATGAAAATTTTGAAATAAATTTTTCTGGACACTCCGTACCAACGGAATATCCCACTGTTTTTGTTGGTTAACTTCCAGTGGGACATTTTCGCCGCGACAGAGCGTTAGCCATGTTTGCTTTGCCTCCGCAGCAAAGCACAGGTCTACTTTATTATATAAAATTGTGTTACATAGGTCATTTACACTATGCACGGAAGCAAGGAAAGCAGGCAATGCGACGCTAGAAATATTTCTTACACCAATTCCACCAAATTTGATCGGTAAAGTGGCTTGATTCCAGGCTATTGTATTAAATCTCAAATTTAGAATGTTTTCTAAAGCAATTTTAAGATTACTATCAATATCTTTTAAAATATCCGAACATTTCCAGACTGGACTTGAGCGTAACAAGTATGTAAATTTAGGTACAAGGAGACAATATTTTAAAATGGTAAGGGCAATATGGAGGTTTAAAATATATAATTTATCAACGTGATTTAAAAATTTATCAAATTTTGTTTTTAAAACAGGTTTAATACTATCGAAAATATATATCAAATTTATTAAATAAATATCATATCAAACTTATTAATAAGTTCCGCAGTATTCACAGGATGATGACGATTAGGAAGGTGAATGAAGAATTTTGAATAAGTCGTTAACAAATATACAATAATTATTTGTTGTAGATGTTAATAAATTGTTAAGAATCAATTAAAATTACAAAACATGTATTGCTTACAGAGAGACGACGGTGGTGCGATCATACAAAATAATACGCTCGTAGGAATAGCGACTTTCCTCCATAGGTGCGCTGTCTACACTCGCACGCACGCGTTCCTTAAAGTGTCAAGTTTCGCTAGATGGCTTAATTCAGTCATTTGGGACGAAGATAATAGGCCAACCACAGTCACTCCAATTTCCTCCACACCACAAACCGTATCTCCTGATATCAACCTTACAGAGAATACTCCGCAGTATAGAAACGTATATTTTGACCAAAGGAAACAAATACTATCAATACCGTTCGACCCTATAAGCGTACCTATAGAACCGGCGGAAGGCAACTCAGTCTTGCCTGGAATGAGTCTCTATGAATCTTATTTACAAAACATAGCAAGAGCAAAAACTTCAACCACACAAGATCCAAATGTTGTGGAAAATATGAAAAGGGAATGGCTCAGAAAACTAGAAAAGAAGTACAATAATGTACTAGCTCAAGCGAAGGTGGCGGAACATAACTCAGTCTTGCCTCGAATGGGTCTCTATGAATCTTATTTACAAAACATAGCAAGAGCGAAAACTTCAACCACACAAGACCCAAATATTGTGGAAGACATGAAAAGGGAATGGCTCAGAAAACTTGGAAAGAAATACAATGTACAAGCTGATGCTAAAATGTACAAAACAAACAGATATCAATCTAACGAAGTTAACTAGTTGTAAGTGATATGATAATCATAATTTTATTAGGTACATTTTGAGTAATAAAAATAATAAAAATAAGGTGATAAGTAACTGTAGTGAAAATAAAATTATCTTTGAATTAATTTTAATATAAAGTATAGTATAATATTAAGTAAGGCTCCATGTGGTGGATGTTGTTCTCCATATACGCAATAAAAAGAAAAAGTTCACTTGTATAAGTCATCTATTGGGCCTGACTGTTGTCTTAACTTACACACAAGTCAAACGACGAGATGCGAGTCGTTATAATAAATGGATTAGTTGTAAGTTGTTTTTGCAACTAAGTAAGTTGCGATAATTAATGGATCCCACAGGCGTGAAAAGGCTTGACTCGTACGAGATTTTGCTCATCGGTTGGACAATATAGGCTAATTTATACAATAATAAATAATTTTTTTATATTAATAGTTTAGTAATTTATAAATAGCGTAATCTTAGTCAATGCATGATTCAGTTTTACTACGCGTTTGCAGTATTTTAATCGTTAATCTCGATCGAGTTGAAAACGTGTCCTTTGTCAGGCTGCCGCGTAACCTGAAACACGATGTATAATAGTGAAAGCTGTGGCTCATTGAAACTACACGCTTGTAGATCGAAGAAACTAGTCGAATTAATTTGTTCAGAGTTGAGAACGTTTTCTGTTGCCACCGCAACAATGAAATTGTAAATTGCAATTTTAAGTGCTGCATTATTCCATGCGCGACGGTGAATAAAAGCGAGGAAACCTGCATGTCTGAGTGATAAAAAAATGACAACATGCAAAATTCGATATCACGAAATGAAGCAACAATACGTACTAATTGTTGTACGTAATCTTCAACATTATTGAGATTTGTATCTTAAATGAATTTATTTTATAGCAAAATTACAAACTCCTGTGAGTTGAAGTACTATATATCATGGCTGCATCAGATGGCATTAAAACGCGTAATGGTTTTTTTTGTGGGGTTTTTGGTTTAGTAACACCGTAGTTAATTGTGATAAAATATATGAATAATAGTATTAAGACTTAATATTAATCGAAGCTCTGTGATTAAGTACAAATAAAAATAATAGAAGAAAAAGTGTTTGCTTATTATCATACCATCACCAACATATCGACACCAACATCATTAGATCTAGAAAATTTACTACTAAACATGGTTTCCTTCCACATTGAAGTATGAAGGTGGCCTAAGAAAACCCAATGTTGTCCTGGAGGTATTCTTAAAAGTATATTTTAGGAAATGCCTAGAAATTCGTGTTAGTAGGTAGTAGGTTGTACTACGTGTTGAGGTCAGACCAAAACCAGTTTGTAGTGGCGATGTTGGCCACACTGCATATGTATTTGTATTTTTTGTAGTTTGATGTAGTTTGTGGAGGAGGCCTAAGTTTCGCAGGATTGTAATAAGCTGTAATTCATTTTTTAATAAATAATATTCCCTAATATTCGATGAGATGGGATCAGCGCTAAGGTGCGTTTGGCTTTAACAATACACCTGTCTAACGTGGAAAGGCTCATTATATATTGTCTTAAAATATTTTACATTTAAAAATTAAACACACTTCATATTTTACAGCACCACTAACACAGTTCTTTACACTTTCTACGATTGTAAAAACATAATACTCTAAAAACGATGGCTTAACAATTATTTGTACAGGATTATTGTCACTGTCAACTACAAAGGTTATGCGGACTGGCGCTGTGGCTCAACGCAAGTCCGCATTACCTTTGTAGTTTGTTTGCCTTATTCTAATTAGAAAAAAAAAACTTTTGGATATTTATTTGAAATTAAGCCTTGCACTATATGCGTAATAGTATAATTATGAAATAATTGCATTTTCATCTCGTGTGTTGGCGATTTAAAAGAACCTAATCCGATCCAATTTATGTCAGATGTCATAAACATGTAACCTAACTCGACCGAGCCCTCTCCCAAAGCGCGCCAATTAGTCCAATTTTCGGTTTTATGCATCCAGTTTCTTTTTATTTATATTGAATTCAGTTCTAATTTTTTTAAATTTCACTCTTATATTAAAAAAAAACTGACAAGACTGAAAGGATCAGTAAATCAGTAAACTAAAATGGCAACAGCCCATTCTTATAGCTAGAATAACCGATAACCGATAGGAAAAAAAGGTTTTCGGGTGGTAGACTCGTGCGACGGCCTTCCACTAGATCGGCACCAAGTAAGAAACGCAGGTCGAAGGATGCAAGTGGCACGGGTTCGTTCTTTGTGGTATTCCTTAGCGGAAGGTCGACGTTTAGCAGTGTACTCGTGGTGGGCTGTAATGATAATGATGTATTGAAGAGGGTATGTGAACTCTGCCAGTAAGCGTTTAGAGCAGGGAATATTTTGCCACGCATTAGAGGTGTGTGGCAGAATATTCTCTGCCCTAAAACCCTCACAAACTCTGATGCAGATACAATTTCGAGTTTAAGCTCAAAGTACCAGCTTTAGACACAAAATCACACCTGTGTGATTTTGTGTGTGTTAGTAATAGTTAATTATATAAATTAAAAAAGTCCCGCTGGTTTTTTTGCAGATCCTTCCCAGGACACAGGTACTTTCCGAACCATTGGTAAATAAAAAATTGAATAAAAATCATTTATTTCTTTTCATAATATAGACTGAATTAAATCCCTTTTCCAATCAATTTTTCAGCGAGTCCCTATTTCATTTGCAGTTTCGACGTGATTGAACTTGAAGAAATTAATTTCCTTTGTATGTCATTCGCCAGCGAAATACTTTTCGTTTATTATGCGCAGAGGAAACAAAAGTTTCACTAGTATAGTAAGAAAATTTTATATTTTAAATTTGAAAACATTGTAATGTTTTGAGCCGACTTCGAAAAAAGGAAAAGGTTATATTCGAATATTTATTCATTTTTAATATTATCAATATATACACAATTCGATTGTATGTTTTAAGGGTCTATGGTTGAGATATATGTGTAAATGGGATATTACACCGATTTTCAAAAATTGTTTTAAATAAATTCTAGTGTGATAGACACTATATAATTTTTATATAAATAAATTCCCATAAAAATTACTTTTAATCTATCGTTTTAAATCTTCACGTGAAAACGCGTCCTCGATTTTGCCGATTTTGAATAGGAATAAGATACTTTTTAATGTTTAATAATGAGCTATCATTTAAATCATTGTTGTGTTGTGCCTTAATGCAAAAATACGAGCGTAATAACACCGGGAAAGTTATGGATACAGGTGCCAAGTATTTAAATATAAGAAATGCTTAGTTAAAATTGGCAAGAAGATACTCGAATACATTGTCTACAAAAACCAGACTACTCTTCTGTGAAGATCATTTACATGTAAGTGTGGCTTATATTTAACTATCGTTTAATACAAAACAAAAATAATATATCGCAAGTCAAATTTTGTAATAAATTACGCAACTTAGATATTATAACTAATGATTGCTTATGATTGTAATTATAGATAAACTAAACTATGATAGCTATTAAACTGTATTTTGTCAAAATACCCTCTCACCTGGTATTGTGTTTTTGTATAAACAAAAGTTGGTAATAGGTACTTACATTGATGTTTTAACATTCCTCAACTCAGCAGAACAAAAATTGGGATTGCGTGCAAAAAATTTTGCCACCATCAATTTATTTATCCTTGGTAGATTAGTATTATCTGCTTTTACGAATTCATCTTCTATGATGCCTTTTCAATAAAATTCGGAATAATACTCAATAATCGTAATGATAACTTGAAAAATTTCGAAATAACACAGCACGTTAGCTAGTTCTCTTAATCAGTGACACAGAACACTATTACCCTTAAGCTGGATCAGAGACGTCACGACATTTTTTAACATGGCGGATAGCGTTTTGCAGATATGAGGCACAGACAAAAAAAATATTAAAATTGAAATGTAAAATTTGTAATGTAATTTTATAAACAGAAATTTCTCGTTTACTTTTTACAAAATCTGTCATAAATATATATTTTTGATTTTATTTCACATGGTGTAAAACACCCTATTGCAAACCATCCCTGTAACTTCCTGCTATGTTCGATTCCAAAATGTTCGACAAATATTCTTACGAACTAATACTTAATTTATTACATCAAAAATGATCCGAGCAGAAATTTCGAAGTCATTAAAAAAACAAATTTTTTAAATTTTTACAACGATAACTTTCAAACAGATAAACAATTTTGATGTAATTGGTCACAATGGACGAGGTATTTTAAGAACAATAATAAAATTTATTGTAAAAAAATGATCAGACTATAAATTCAAATATATGTGAAAAAATCACTTTTTCCGCGCCCATACATTGTTCGTCCTGGAACCAAGAGCATCGTAAAATTGTGTGTTGCATTGTCGATCATTAAGGATATTTATATATCATCTGAATTTTATAGCGTACTAGCTGCAGAAAAGAAATATTTAGAAATTAGTATCAGATTTTGCGGTTATAATAGAACTACTAATATTATGGTTTTTATAATTTAGTAGGATTTTTAAGGAACAGAAACATTTAACAATTTTTAATACCGTCTTCGAACAACATAAAACCACCAGTAGAGCCGCAATTTACACAAAATAAACTTTCCATTGCATATGCGTAACAAAGAGAATATAATCGCTACGTTTAAAAAGGTGAGACTCCCTTAATAAAAGTATTTTTTTATAGGAGAGGGGGCGAATCAGCATACGGTTCACCTGGTGTTAAGTGACTACCGCCGCCCACGAACAACTGCAACACTTTGCACACTGTCGGCCTTTTAAAAAGGAGTAATATCTTTTCTCGAAGGTCCCTAGGTCGTATCGGTCCGGAAAAATCGCCGGTGGTAAACTATTCCACAGACAGATCGTACACGGAAGTACTTCTAGTGAAACGTACAGTGGTGGACCGCCAAGCATCCAAATGGTGTGGATAGTATCGGGACGTTTACCGCGTAGTGCGTTCATGAAATTTGGCGGCTGGGATTAATCCGAACAATT